ACCGGCTCGGATCAGACTGCAGAGCTCCCACTTCTGGCCTTTGTGATCGGCACCAGCGTGTCGACGGCCTGCACCGCTGTTCGGTCTGGCTTGGTCAGGTCAGGTCAGACCAGGTCAGGTCAGGTCAGGACATGACAGTCAGTGTCATGCCAGGTCAGTTCAGACCAGGTTAGGTCAGGTCAGGCCCGGTCAGGGCAGGGCAGGTCAGGCCAGGTCCAGTCCGGTCAGGACCGTCGCAGGACAGAGCGGCGTTGCAGCATCCCCGACATATGATTGCTGGTGGAGCTGCAGCTGCGCCACCGACAGCTGGGTTCGGACCTACAGCTCTGGTGGTCAGTCTGAGGCAGCGACACGGACTAATGCCCGCAGTCAGCACCGTCGCGCCGGCGCTGAACTGGAGGAGCTCACTTCCGTACGCCCGTGCGGCAACACCAATTCCAAACGCCCCGGAGCTGGAAAACTTCGACGGCCATGCTACGTGACGCCAGAATGCTGGAACGACCTTTCATCGGACATCATTCCTGCCAGACAGCGGGGGTGTAGATATTTCCCACGGAGTTACCCGCGGACGTCCCAGTTCACGAACTGCGTGCACAGCAGTCCTCCCTCAACAGAGGGGTGCTAGCAAACGAGGGAATAAATTCACAACGAGAAAAGCTTCGGTGCAACTCGTAAAAGTAGGGTGTGCAGTCGAACAATAACCCAGCTAGCAATGGACCAAGGCGAACGACATGGAGTGAAGATGTTTGGTGTGTTTATCTCCAGCCCGCGTATCTCCACATTCACAGCATACGGCACTGTGGCATCAGTCTTTCCTTCCACACCAAATAATTGTTTTTTAGGACGTAAATCCCATCACAACGCGCAGTCAATTCTTACGTTTAAACGGTAGCTAGAACCACGCTTAAAGCCAATCGTGGCTTTGCGACACAGCCGAGCTATCTCGGCCAGAGCATCAAATCCCGGATGGTACAATTGTTCTGACCCCGTCCCCATGTAATGTGTTTGTGTGCTCACAAAAACACACCATACCAGGCGGAAAGTGGCGACAATTATTCCATACGTAATGCTAATGGCATGTCTCAATCACTCCGCAACACTACAGCGTCAAATAAGTGCAAAATGGCTGATGTAGTTCTGACCGTTGCTGGAAAAAACACCATGCAGCTCTTCCTGAGCTGTCACGGTGAACACAGATGCCCTGGCGAGTTCTTTCGAACTTTGCCCGGAGGTCGGAGGCCAAAAGACGATGTACCGACATTGGCTGCCATTCGTCAGAATGTATCAAGCCAGGGAGCGCCTGGCCGAGGGAGGACCGATAGTTTTTCCCAAAGGCCCGACAACCTGCCAGTACCAGGAGCAGACTGAGTCAATCTTCAGCAAAGCCGTGGCTTGAAATTTGAATTCAAGGCAACCCCGTTCAGTACAGCGTCACCTATGAGGGCTGGCCACAAGCTGAATAGCGCTCGAAAAAACATGCATAAATAAGTACGCCTGTGTGTGTGTGAGTGTAGACGTGTGTGCACAGTTATGGTACATTTATCGTTTCATTAACATAAGATTCCATGTTTTCAATTTAGACGTGTCGCACGAAGTAAGTGTTTGCTGACAAGAGGCATCACTACCCGTTTTCCATAGTAATGGAAAAGTGCCTGATGCATGCTCTAGTGTGACGCGCATGCTAATTCACCAGAACAGTGATCGCGAGAAAAAGGCAGTGCTTTAGTGAAGACGCCACGCCCGGCTGACTGGCCCCACACGACTCGTTTGTAAAACAGCGTCCGCATCTTATAGAAAACCACAACTCGAGCCTGCCGCGGCGTCGTGTTTACGATGACAACGCACCAAAGCTGCCACTTTCCTAGAACATCCACATGCCGGCCGCCTGGCATTGTATCGATTTGGGAGCCAGGCCGGCGGGTGTGCCGAGGCGCTCTCTGCGGCTCCGGTGTCGGCCGGAGCCCACGGCGGAGGCGGAGGCTCCACAGTGACACTGACGGAGCAGGCATACCGACAACAGAATGTCACGGTAATTGGACAGGCCGGCGCGGGGAGCATGTCGGACAGCATGCACGCCGAGGAACTCGTGGAATGACACAGCAACAGCAAGACAATGGCACACAGCTGCATAGAATTTAGAGTGGTAATCTAGCTTTGAGCGAGAGGGCAAGAGCTGGAGACCCCGCCAGAAAAGCAGGGAGTAGTAGATCGAGCAGGGTCCTGCACTAAAGTTTCCCTATTGTCTTCGCCTGTGCCCTCTTCAGTCACGGCTCATGAGAGAAACTGCAGGACGGGACGCGCCGCATTTTGGGTGACATTGCTGGGCTTTGTAGGGAGTAGTGGTAGCGGCAGCTGCAGCCGCCTCCTCGTGCACGACCGGCAGCCGTGTCGGTGACCTGACACCGTATGGTAGCTGGACGTGCTCCCTGGGGTAGCTCGCGGGGAGCAGCACCAGCAACTGGCGGCCACCTGAGACCGCACGGTCACCGGCTGTGCTCCCTGGGGTAGCTCGCGGGGAGCGGCACCAGCAACCGGCGGCCACCTGAGACCGCACGGTGGCCGGACATGCTCCCTGGGGTAGCTCGCGGGGAGCGGCACCAGCAACCGGCGGCCACCTGAAACCGCACGGTCACCGGCCGTGCTCCCTGGGGTAACTCGCGGGGAGCGGCACCAGCGACCGGCGGCCACCTGAGACCGCACGGTCACCGGCCGTGCTCCCTGGGGTGGCTCGCGGGGAGCGGCACCAGCGAGCGGACACGGGCGAGGTGACCGCCCGACGGTGGTGCAACACCTCACTGTGACACGGAGACACCAGCCCGGTCCCGGCGACCCGCTGGCACAGAGCCCCCCTCCCCCTCACCACCCCAGGTGGGTCAGCTCGGGGCCGGTGAAGTGACGGGGCTCACTCCAGGCAGCAGGCAGGGGGGGGGGGCGGTTTGGCGGCTGCTGCTGAGTTGGAGCCCTGCCAGTCCGATCACCGAGTGTCGAAAACGCGACGGCCCGGGTGGAGTGGGGCGCGGGGGGGGGAGGGGCACAGGGGCGTGGCGCGAATGGGCTTAATCCACCGGCTCTGTCTGGAAGGCATTTACACCGCCAAAGAGCGACCGCTGGGTTCTGAATTCGCGGCCGGATATCTATTTCATTCGTCGCGCTCAGAGCGTGGCTTTGAAGGATTAACTAGTACAATTCATCACTTTGGAAGATGATCGTCAGCAGGGCCAGCCAGATCAGGCCCTGCACCACTGGACCAGCCACGCTGGGCTGGGGAGGGCGGCTGGGCATTTATGACGAACGGAGGCGTGGAGACCAATCGGTGGAAGAACGTCTCTTGCTCAGATCTTAATGATGGACTGTGGATCACTGGTGCCTCTTGGCGGGGAGAGATCACAGGGAGCCGGAGGGAGCGGGGGAGGAGGGGAGTTGAACGCGGCTGTGGCCCAGGGACGACCAGCTGCTACAGAATACCAGTATATGGCCGCCTGCAGTACCGCAGGTCGGTAGTTCACCCCGGCCCCATCCCGGTCACCAGTGCAGTTGTTCAGTATTGGCCAACTGGACCTGACGGCTCAGGTTTTTCCGTCGTCGACACAACGGTACAACAACGACTGTAGACCTTGTTCTGGAGCACAGCCGGTTGCGCTAGTGACATGTCTGATCAGATGATTTGATCTGATATGGTGGTGTAGAGAGAGAGAGGGGGAAGGGACAGTTAAAACATGCCTCGAATGCTTTGCAGTGGAACTGTGGTTGAGTTCCCACTTAATTAGCGCTTGCCAAAGAATGCGCTTACGCATCGCGCAAACGCGACAAACAATAACATCATTCGTGCTTCAGCTTCCGTCGAAGTTAACGCTCAGTGAAGATCTGGACCTGGCATCTGTCGACTTCTAACACCCACACAACAGTCTGAAGGCAGTGTCGTCTTGGCACTGACTTTGCGTCGGACCGAGCCGTTCGCCGAATTCTCGTGCGGCCAGTACACTTCCTGCCAATCCGTTCCGCCAGCCGACCTCAGCACCGGACAGGGCAGCCGGCAGACAGCTCCGCTGGGCGGGCAGGACAGCCGCCGGGCAGCTCCGCTGGGCGGGCAGGACAGCCGGACCGGCCACGCCACGCCGCGGCCTGCTGGCTGGGCAGTGAGCCCAGCCTCGTTCAGTTTTCAGTGTTCATCGCCGGCTCAGTGAGTTCGTTGTTCAGTGTTCACCGATGCATGGGTCGGGAGCCCCGAGCGCCGTCCGGCTCTCCCAGGGGCCCGGCCGCAGTCGGAGCCGCCGACCGGCGCGGGTCTCCTCCGGCCGCGGTGCGGAGACCACCGGAGACGCAGGGCCGGACTCATCGCGCCGGCTATGACAGTGCCCCGAGCATCGCGGGCGACGTGCGGATGGTGCGGGGAGGCACACGCCGTGAGAGCTGGGAGCAATTTGACGGCGTGCTTGAGTGTCGGTAATTCACAGGCACTCATGATTACCCAGGCGATGTTACCACGCGCTAAAGATCTTAAATCATGATACGGATTCGGACAAACCAGAATCCCGTGACGTGCACTGAAATACCAATAGAACCGCCCATATCCCCGTGCCAAAACAATGATGTCATGGTCTAAAACTGATGCCTCATAGCCCAGCCCCTCCCGTGCCTGAAGCCATCCCATCACAAACAGCAGCCCACCGTCACCGGCGGCGCATCGGCGACCACTAGGTCTGCATCAGCACCGCGCAACACGGCAAGCGGGCCTGCCATGGAGACTCACGTCGCTCACGGAAGACGTCTTGATCTTCTGACCGCGGAGAATGTGTGTAACGTGGGCCAGACCCGATGACGTGCCACCCGAAACAGATCATATCAGGCCTGCCCGGCTCAGCAGTCTGCCAGAGACTCGTTCCTTCATCCCCTCACCTAGATCAGTGCTTTCTACATACATAGGTAGAAGGAACTCCACCGAAACACCGGGGAGCATTGCCCTTCGTCGGTGCATTGGCTCACACGCGTGACGTCCTCACCTTGTATATGCTATCCACCAGCCTGGCCACCTCCTCCGTGTCGACAGCGGGGCTCGTCATGGCCGCAGCCAGTCCTGGCGCCGGGGCCACCCCACCGCTCCGCACCACGTCCCGCGCGACACGACGCGTCCAGGGCCGAGCCGCGCGCACTCCACCACAGTGGCACCGAGCGCAGACTGCCGCTCCTTCGCCCGCCGCCCGCGACGGACGACCGGGCGATCAGCCTGCCACCTGGCGCCGAGCGAGGGAAGTCGGCGGCGGTGTGGCACGGTCGCACCGCCGCCGCGGGGGCCCGCAGACGGCGGAGCAATGTGCGAGGGACGCAAGTAAGGCCTGCTATGCAATTCCACGTTGTTTTTCTCATGGATGCGTTGCATGCTCAAGGACAATGATCTCCGTTCTAATTAAAAAGTACAGTGCGGACAGACTACGCGTTTGAAGCCACTTCTCACAATTGTTCTCCTAACGCAAGGTCAGGGGGTACCTGCACGCGACATCTCCGCGTAATTTTTGGGCTGCCGGCATCTGTGGGGACAGAGCCTGCGCCCTCCCGTCATAGCGGTTTCCAATGTCGCACAAAATACTGTGCCCGCAGGAACGACGACGGCATGCCACCTTCGCAACGACATGTCGTCGTACGTCATCACACTGACGACATGCCGTCGCACGTCATCACACTGACGGGTGGCGCTGAGCCCAGCTCGCAGTGCGGTGTGGAGGCTTCCATGTGGTATGGTTTGCAGGTTAAGGACGAACACCGGCGTCCCGCCTTTCTAGTTGTCATGGACTTCGGCAGACGGTGCGGGCGGCTCAAAAATGTTCTCTCCGCAAATTAAAAAGGCAAATAATCGAGCTCACCGAAACTATCTTTCACTCAAAGGAGCTTCCCCAAAACTCGCGCAAGAGGAACACGTTCGGTTTGGGGGTCTCTTGAGTATGCGAGACACACACAGGCCGACGCTGGAACCAATAAGCTCTGCTGGATGGTCACCACCCGCTGAAAATTAGATGAACAAATAAAACAGCAGGCTAGCCACAGCAAGAGAAACCCACTCTTATGACATGGGACATGATTGCAAGACAAGACGAATCTTGCAACATCGGCTTTGTAACGAAAGATGGCAGCCGTCGCTTTCCCACGAGCTTAACGATGTGGTCGCCATCTCATTAGACGCTCGTCTCTGATCGCAGCGCAGACAGCCATGCTGCGTCAGTCCACCCGCACCGCGGCTGTGGTACCGTCGGAGGGACGACAGCCATGGTTCCGTCCCCTTCCTGCCACCAGGGGTACGACAGTCGGACAGCGTCAGTCCACCCGCACCGCGGCCGTGGTACCGTCGGAGGGACGACAGCCATGGTTCCTTCCGCCTCCCTTCCATCGGGGGCACGACAGTCGGACAGCGTCAGTCCACCCGCACCGCGGCCGTGGTGCCGTCGGAGGGACGACAGCCATGGTTCCTTCCCCCTCCCTTCCATCGGGGGCACGACAGTCGGACAGCGTCAGTCCACCCGCACCGCGGCCGTGGTGCCGTCGGAGGGACGACAGCCATGGTTCCTTCCCCCTCCCTTCCATCGGGGGCACGACAGTCGGACAGCGTCAGTCCACCCGCACCGCGGCCGTGGTACCGTCGGAGGGACGACAGCCATGGTTCCTTCCCCCTCCCTTCCATCGGGGGCACGACAGTCGGACAGCGTCAGTCCACCCGCACCGCGGCCGTGGTACCGTCGGAGGGACGACAGCCATGGTTCCTTCCCCCTCCCTTCCATCGGGGGCACGACAGTCGGACAGCGTCAGTCCACCCGCACCGCGGCCGTGGTGCCGTCGGAGGGACGACAGCCATGGTTCCTTCCCCCTCCCTTCCATCGGGGGCACGACAGTCGGACAGCGTCAGTCCACCCGCACCGCGGCCGTGGTGCCGTCGGAGGGACGACAGCCATGGTTCCTTCCCCCTCCCTTCCATCGGGGGCACGACAGTCGGACAGCGTCAGTCCACCCGCACCGCGGCCGTGGTGCCGTCGGAGGGACGACAGCCATGGTTCCTTCCCCCTCCCTTCCATCGGGGGCACGACAGTCGGACAGCGTCAGTCCACCCGCACCGCGGCCGTGGTACCGTCGGAGGGACGACAGCCATGGTTCCTTCCCCCTCCCTTCCATCGGGGGCACGACAGTCGGACAGCGTCAGTCCACCCGCACCGCGGCCGTGGTACCGTCGGAGGGACGACAGCCATGGTTCCTTCCCCCTCCCTTCCATCGGGGGCACGACAGTCGGACAGCGTCAGTCCACCCGCACCGCGGCCGTGGTGCCGTCGGAGGGACGACAGCCATGGTTCCTTCCCCCTCCCTTCCATCGGGGGCACGACAGTCGGACAGCGTCAGTCCACCCGCACCGCGGCCGTGGTGCCGTCGGAGGGACGACAGCCATGGTTCCTTCCCCCTCCCTTCCATCGGGGGCACGACAGTCGGACAGCGTCAGTCCACCCGCACCGCGGCCGTGGTGCCGTCGGAGGGACGACAGCCATGGTTCCTTCCCCCTCCCTTCCATCGGGGGCACGACAGTCGGACAGCGTCAGTCCACCCGCACCGCGGCCGTGGTACCGTCGGAGGGACGACAGCCATGGTTCCTTCCCCCTCCCTTCCATCGGGGGCACGACAGTCGGACAGCGTCAGTCCACCCGCACCGCGGCCGTGGTACCGTCGGAGGGACGCCGGTCATTTGGACGCCTTTTACACTCCACTCGTCAGCAGCATCAGACATACCTGGGCAGCGTCGGACGACGGCAGCCTGTAGCGCCCCTCCTAACGGCACGTCACGTGACGTGCCGCGCGCGTCACGCTCGTTCGTGACGAGAGACGTTCAAGTGACCGAGTGAGGTCTGTGTGGTCTGTGTGGTATGACCGGGTGTGGTCTGTGTGGTCTGACCGGGTGTGGCCTGTGTGGTCTGTGTGGTATGACCGGGTGTGGCCTGTGTGGTCTGTGTGGTATGACCGGGTGTGGTCTGTGTGGTTTGACCGGGTGTGGCCTGTGTGGTCCGTGTGGTATGACCGGGTGTGGTCTGTGTGGTCTCTGTGGTATGACCGGGTGTGTTCTGTGTGGTCTGACCGGGTGTGGTCTGTGTATATAGCACTGAAGAGATTACCACTGATCAGACACTTGGTAAAACAACGATATGGCCGATCGATGATTCTGAAACGAGACAAACATAAATATGCCGTTGTCTGGTGACTGAAATATGCTGTACAAGTGCGTGTGGACTGTGGAGCACAAATTTAAGCCAACAAACACGAAAGGTACAAAACAGAATGTTGAACACAAAACTTTCAAATCAGCGCAGCTACACAAAGCATTGGAACGGAAAATAATGAGGCAGTGTGATTGATTGGAGGTGCAGCAAATTTCGTCAATTAAAAAACCGGTTGTCATGCACAAGTAATGAGGAATCGGTCCTCGGTCCAGACTGGTCCTCTTCGCGTCCGACCGGGAGCGTTCTCCGGCTGACCGCTCTGGGCCGGTCTCCCAGCCGCTCCAGCGGGAAGTCCTGCTCGAGCCCGCATCATCCCGGTGGCAGAGCCGCGCGTGGGGTAGACACCGGGGTCTCGGATAACCCGGACTGGCAACAACGCCGACCCACCATACACCGCTGAGCTCTGAAGTCTTAGCCGCTTGGCTAATACACAGCCAAGTGGTCATTCCGTTAGCAGGCACGCTTGCCCAGCGGCGATACACCGCCGTCGCCAGGTCCCCCCAGGGCTCCCCAGCGGCGATACACCGCCGTCGCCAGGTCCTCCCAGGGCTCCCCAGCGGCGATACACCGCCGTCGCCAGGTCCCCCCAGGGCTCCCCAGCGGCGGGACACCGCCGTCGCCAGGCCTTTCCAAGGCTCCCCAGCGGCGATACACCGCCGTCGCCAGGTCCCCCCAGGGCTCCCCAGCGGCGAGACACCGGCGGCGGCTGCGTCCCGCCCCGGCAGACCGGGCGGTCGCGCTGTTTGCCGCCATTAGCGCTCACAGGGCAGGGGCCGGGAGGGCGTGTTGGGTTCCGACCCCTCCCCCTTTGTCCGGCGCCGGTGCTGCCTCTGCCCGCGTTCTCCAGACTCGGGCTGGGGAATAGCGGATAGGGTGCTATCGGAGATTCCCTCCACGGTCAACAGTCGACTCCCGCCCATGGGAAATGGGCACACGCATCCACCGGCAGCCCGCCGTGGGTTATGGGCGCGCGCAGCGTCACGTGGTTCAAGCAACATTACGTCCATGGCTTGTCGCCCTCGGGCCACGACCTGGGCGAAAATCGACGGGGACGCGGCGGGCTGTGCCGAGGTCAGCACGGGCTGGGCTGAGGTCAGCACGATTATGTTTTTTGTGGGGGGGAGGGGGGAGGGGGGGATACGACGCACTCAGCTGCTCAGGCTAAAAGGCGTCGTCTGCTTTTCACCCCAACAGGAAGTATTGGCACCACAAGAAACCGAGCCCCTTGTTTCCGATTTCCCAGACGCGCAGCTTCTTAACCACTACTCCATTGATATCCCACCAGCACGGTGATGTGCAAGCTAACATCTAACTATGCACGAAAGTCTTTGCGGAAGACCTGTCCGATTTTCTTGGATTTGGGTCCTTTATTTAAGCTGTTGCTGAAAGCAACTGCATACACCTGTTTTTCGTCACCATCATTAGCTCCTTACCGTCGATCGCAAGCAGCAGCTTACGACAGGCGGTTATCCTAGCACTGAGACTCGCACGGGTAACAACAGCTGATAAACATCGTTTGGTGCAATGCATTTATTGTCTTTTTACTTAATTTGACCCGAGCAGTAATTGGACCTACTTGTATCCTTCGCCAGCTGTAAACGAATGCAGGACTGTAACGGCTTAACGTCAGCATTTTCCCACGTGTGCAGTCCGACATGATACCCCGCGGACGCCAACATGGCGTCAAGTGCTCTGTGCCAGATCGGGGCCGGTCCATTGATGGTGCTGCTGCTTGTTATAGATGCCACTGACTGGTCGGCAGATTTGTAGGCCCGCCGTTGGGCCCACCTCTGTCAAACGATCACACCGGAACCGTGGTGTCCTCCTGAAGGCTAACACACTGCTGCACTGCCGACACCATCAGAGACGCAGCCAGGATCTGCTTAGTGGAGGGATCCAGAGCTCAGCGAGTACGGTTCACGCCGTCTGTTCAACTTTCTGTCGGCAGCACGCTGGCGTGGCGCTGGGGGGGGATGGGGGGGAGGAGGCGCGAGGCCCCGCGGGTCCCTGCCCTGGCTACGCCCATGCGCGTGACCTCGTCATATCGAGAACACTGAGTGGAAACAACGCGTCCAGTGTCTGGGTTAAAAGTAGCACCATTTTGGTGTCATCTGCGCCACGTCAGTAACCAAGCAAATCAGAGCAGAAGTCGCAAGCATCGAACGAAACCCACAAACCGCCACGTGCCTACTCCCCATTTATTGAGGCAACGGAACGAGATTTGCGTATGTACAGAATTACACTGTTTTCATGTCACACGTCTCGTTATACAAATACATTAACACTGGGCGAGACCGGGCCAACCGACACGCGCACCGCGACGGCGCGCTCGGATGCCCTCTGCGAAAATATGACTGCCAGCCGCGTCGCTCGATCGTAATCGCACACAGCGAGCGAGCATGGCTCAGGCCGCCGCCCCGCCACCGGAAATGCGGGACGGCGACGGCGGCGCCACCTTTTCCGGCGCAGTGGCGCCGCCGCGCGGACCGTTCGGAAGTACAAGCGGGCGGCCACTATGTACACGGCGGGCGGGGCGCACGCCTGGCATCTACAGTTATCACAACATAACGCCAAACAGGTTAGTCCAAATCACCGCTCTACCGGGGTCGTGGTGGGTGGAGGCGGGCGGCGGGCCGGCCGACGGGCGCCACCCAGCTTTGTACAGATTAGCGGGGGCGGGGCGGACGGCCGACCGGCCGGCGCGCGACACTGGTTAGAGGGCGGGGCCGCGCGGCGGGGACACTACTCGGGCCTGCAAGCGGTCACGTGGAATGGTTAGAAAACAGAACAACAACAAACGTAACACTGTCGTCTGGCCAGCGGCTGGAATCACGGCGAGGGCACGCCGCCGCCTCGCTCGCAGCTCCCCTGTTCCCTCTGCGATATGATTGGACCGGGTTGGGTCGCGCCGAAAAGCGACCGCTCTGTGCAGCTTCCCCGCATATTGGACCCGACTAGACCTCTCTCTCTCTGACTCGCTTTCTCTTGCTCTCTGTCCACCTGACTTTCTCCCCAGCCGCGGAGCCAGCATCGTCGTCTGAGCCGCCCTCCACATTCAAACTCACACACTCGCTCGTGCTCTCCATCCCCATCTGCAGCGCTGACTGCTTCACCCCTCTCACGCCCCAGCCGAACACTCCCAGTTCACACGGTGTGCCGCGCGCGCGTGCACGCGCGGCCACTAGCTGCCGGGGTCGCCGCAGCGGCCGACGGCACCCGACCAGCGGCCGACAGACAGCACAGAAAGACTAACAGACGCCGCGGCGCGGCGCGGCCGGCGCCCGAGTCCGGGGCGGCCGCTGCGGCCAGCCGGGGCGCCGCGGCACCGCCGGCCGCGCGTCTTTTGGCACATGACGCCCTCCGAGCCCGGCGCGGCCCGCCCCTCGGCCTGGCGCTTGAGCATGCGGCGGGCGCGCGCGAGCGCTGGCCGCCTACGCGGGGAAGTCGAGCCGGTCCCACTGCATGGCCGCGTTGCCCTCGACGCCCATCTTCAGGTCGACGCCCTCGATGAGCAGTAGCTCCAGCGGGTCTTGCGCGCTGGGCAGCACCGGGTCGCGGCTGTTGTGCGAGTCGCTGTTGGCCGGCAGCCACGAGTCGAGGATCTCTTCCATGTCGAAGTCGTCGGCCGGCGGCGGCGGCGCGCCGGCCGCCGGCTCGGGGGTGTTGACCTCGCGCTTGAGGTCGGCCGCCGCCGCCGGCTGCAGCTCCATCGCCTCCAGCGCGTCCAGCTCCAGCTCGTCGATGGCGCCCAGATCGGCCAGCTCGGCGAACATGTCGGCCGGCGGCGCCGGGAAGGTTGCCGGCGCCGACGTCGCGACCGGCCGCGCCGGCGCGCCGGCCGCCGGCTCGATGGCCGCGCTCGGCGGCAGTTCTGCGGACCCAGGGGAGGAGGTCAGCTGACGGGCCGGCAGACGGCCGGTCACACCGACACAGAGCTGCCTGCGGGAGGCCGCCGCGTCAGACGGCGGTAGTTCACCTATGAGTAACCTCACCACGAACATCGACTGCGATGTCATACGGTAATGGAACACACACGCACTGGCAAGCTACCTTCAAGAGCGGGTGTACAGACAACCTCTATGTACTGCGTACTTCAGCGCTGTATACAGACAACGACACACACCGCGCGGCGGCGCCGCGATCCGCTGACGCCGCACTGACCTCCGTTCTTGATGAGGATCTCGAGCACGTCGTCCATCGCCTGACTGCGAGAAGAGCGCCGGAACGGCTGCCGACGGAGCAGAGGCCCGGTCAGAGGCGGCAGCAACGTGCCACACACCAGACACAGTTCACCGCCAGCCGGTCAGAGGCGGCAGCAACGTGCCACACACCAGACACATCTCACCACCAGCCGGTCAGAGGCGGCAGCAACGTGCCACACACCAGACACAGCTCACCGCCAGCCGGTCAGAAGCGGCAGCAACGTGCCACGCACCAGACACAGCTCACCGCCAGCCGGTCAGAGGCGGCAGCAACGTGCCACACACCAGACACAGCTCACCGCCAGCCGGTCAGAGGCGGCAGCAACGTGCCACACACCAGATACAGCTCACCGCCAGCCGGTCAGAAGCGGCAGCAACGTGCCACACACCAGACACAGCTCACCGCCAGCCGGTCAGAGGCGGCAGGAACGTGCCACACACCAGGCACAGCTCACCGCCAGCCGGTCAGAGGCGGCAGCAACGTGCCACACACCAGACACAGCTCACCGCCAGCCGGTCAGAAGCGGCAGCAACGTGCCACACACCAGACACAGCTCACCGCCAGCAGGTCAGAGGCGGCAGCAACGTGCCACACACCAGACACAGCTAACCGCCAGCCGGTCAGTGAAGAGTGTGGACAGTGGACAGTGAACAGTGAACAGTGTGGACAGTGCACAGTGGACAGCGCCACAGTGTGAGCTCCAGCGCTGTGCCTGACATTCGGACGTGCACAGTTGGAAGTTTGAAGGGTTACAAGTTTGAGCGCGACAGCGCTGCATTACTATCGGAGGGCTTGGCGCTGGCACCAGCTGGAAGGTACCTCTGTGACCCAGGGTTTCATGCGGGCGGCGGTTACTGCTGTCGAGGAGAATCCGCGATGGACAATGGTTAACTCTAGCAGAACATTTGGTGGGGACAGCAGTTGCATGACAACTGCTCCTGATGACAACTTTTGATGATTCTGGTGGTTTTACATACGTCAGGTTTGTCCCAGGCAGTACGTACCTTGGCGCCGGCGGGCTTTGTGCGCGTGGCCTCCATGTAGTCGGGGGGCGGTCGGACGAAGCCGGCCGGCTCGGTGAAGGTGCGCTGGAGCGGCCGGTGCCGCTCCTCGCGGCGCGGCGACTCCGGCGCCGCGCCACCACCGCCGCTGTTGCTGCCGCTGCCGCCGCCACCGCCGCCCTCCGGCTGGCTCGGCGACTGCTGTTGGTGCTGCTGCAGCTGGGTCAGCAGACCTGCGCACACGGCGTCACGTCACGCGTCACGCCACAGCACGTCACGTCACGGCACGCGTCATGCTCGCGTCGGGCTCCGCCGAGCTCGCTGTTGACTGAGCATGAACACGCAGCGAGAAAGGCGTGAAGTGCGGTGCTCTCGACCCTGTTAGATGAATGTAGAGCAGCCGGCTGTCGGCTGGATCCGTCCAACGGATCAACAGGGCTGACAAAGCTATCAAGTGCCCCGCACTCCCATGCCATAAAGTCTCACCGGCAAATGTTGGAAGCGACACAGTGCGCTGGTGAGACATGTGGTTCTGCTGCTGCTGCTGCTGCTGTTGCTGCTGTAGCTGCTGTTGTTGCTGCTGCTGCTGCTGTTGCTGCTGTTGCTGCTGCTGCAATGACTGCAGCTGATGCAACATCTGCAGCTGCGTCTGCAGCTTCTGGGCGGCCAGCTTCTGTTGCAGGTGCTGCTGCAGCAGCAGTCGCTTGGCGTCCTGCTGCGGCGGCTGCCCGGCCGTCGACGTCGGAGGAGATTGCTGCTGCTGCTGCTGCTGCTGCTGCAGCTGTTGCTGCTGTTGCTGCGTCGACGTCTGCTGTCCGCTCTGCATTCGCAGCAGGTTCTGCTGCTGCTGCAAGATCTGCTGCGACCGCTGCAGCTCCTGCTTCAGCTCTTCCACCCGCTGGTGCTGCAGCTGTATCGCCTCTTCGGTCACCAACGGCTGCTGCTGCTGCTGCTGCTGCTGGAGCTGCTGCTGTTGCTGTTGCTGTTGCTGCGGCTGTTGCTGTTGCTGCTGCTGTTGCTGCTGCTGCTGCTGGGGCGGTGGAGGCGGCGGCGGAGGCGGCGGTGGAGGAGGCGGCGGCGGCGGCGGGGGAGGCGGTGGAGGTGGCGGCGGCGGCGGCTCGAAGGCCTCCTCCATGTCCATGGGCGCCTCGCCCGGGGTCATGGGCACATCGAAGATCGGCGAGACGGGCCCCTCAGATCCTTGGCTGTGTCCTGCGGCGGACAGCACAGCGGCGCGTCAGGACAGCGACACCGGCGACGGCGGCACAACGGCAACACCAGCAACACGTGACAGTAACCAAGGCGCCACCAAAGCAGCGGCGGACGCTGCCTTGACGCCTGCCGAGCAAACGACCCGCGCACCCGCCGTGGACCGTACCGGAGTCGAACACAGAGACGCGCGTGTGCCCACTACCCGCTGCCCCCAGGCACACACCCGCACGCGACAGACCACGGAGCCCACGGCGGCCACTGACCAAACGACTGGGACTGCGACGTCTCGTCGTACACGCTGTGCGACGAGCCGACGCTGCCGGGGCTGGCGGCGGCCGCCTGACTCATGGCCAGCGACACCACATCCGGGGCGAACTGAAACGGAGAGGCACCGTCAGCGGCGCAGCGACGGCACCAGCTGGGAGGCAGAACACGGGGGAGGTGGGGGCACACGGGGACGGAGCAGCACCGTCAGCGGCGCAGCGACGGCACCAGCTGGGAGACAGAACACGGGAGAGGTGGGGGCACACGGGGACGGAGCAGCACCGTCAGCGGCGCAGCGATGGCACCAGCTGGGAGACAGAACACAGGGGGGGGGGGGGGGGGGCACACGGGGACGGAGCAGCACCGTCAGCGGCGCAGCGATGGCACCAGCTGGGAGACAGAACACGGAGGGGGGAGGGGGGGGGGGGGGCAAACGGGGACGGCAGCAAGAGCTGCCAGTGGCATGGGGACAGCAGCATAGTCTGTCAAAGGCAAACGGACGACATCAGAGACTGCCAGTGTCGAAGGGGCAACAGCAGGGACTGTTAGCGGCACAGTGACGACGGCAGGGACTGCCATTGTCAAAGGGGCGACAGCAGGGACTGCCAGCGGCACAGGGACGACAGCAGAGACTGCCAGTGTCAAAGGGGCGACAGCAGGGACTGCCAGTGTCAAAGGGACGACAGCAGCGTCTGCTAGTGTCGAGGGGACGACAGCAGGGACTGCCAGCCAAACAGGGACAACAGGGACTGCCAGCGGCACAGGGACAGCAGGGACTGCCAGCGGCGCAGGAACAACAGCAGGGACTGCCAGCGGCACAGGGACGACAGTAGGGACTATCAGCGGCACAGGGACGACAGCAGGGACTGCCAGCGGCACAGGGACGACAGAAGGGACTGTCAGCAGCACAGGGACGACAGCAGGGACTGTCAGCGGCACAGGAACAGCAGCAGGAGCTGTCAGCGGTCCCCGTCTCCCTAGCACCGTTTGCACCCAGTGTCGACCTACCGACTTCTTCGTCGCTGTCATTCCCAGCATCCCCGGTGTCCCTATTGATTCACATACGCCGGGCGCGTTGGCAGCCCCTAATAACCTCCTCGTCAAATAACGAACTACCGCTCCAAAACCAGCGAGAACGAAACGGCGAGTCCGCGGCTCCAGCGCCCCGCCCAACACAGAGAGAACGACAAACGATCCACCGGACCATCCGCATCACATCCCCGACGTAACATCCAGACATGCAGTCAGCACGTCCTTCCGGGCTCAGCGCGCGCCGGCCAGGGGAGCGCCGATCGCGCCTCGAGCGCGGCCGGCGCGGCCGACCAGCGCCCCACGTACCTGGATGGTCTGCGGCTGCTGGTACTGCTGCGGCTGCGACACCACCGACTGCAGCTGCACCTTCACCTGGCGACGCGCCGACGTCGGTCAGGTCAGGTCAGGTCAGGTCAGGCGCCGCCGACGTCCGCGCGGACACGTGGGGCGGCGATTCACAACCAGAACGGCGGGCCTCGGCATGAGACGCAACAGGACAACTCGAGGAGAGCGCGGCCCGCGGAGGAACGCACACGCCACGAGCACGCTCTAGTGGCTCCACGCCGCGCCGGTAGGCGGCGCTCGTGTCGTCGCGCTGCAATACACACTGGGGCGTCGTGGAGGGCGGGCGCCACGGGGCCGTCGAGAAGGCGGGAACGACTGGGACCTGACCGGCTGCCGCCGCCGCCGTCGGCGCGCGGCCGACCCGAGGTCCGGCAGACTGACCTGTCCGTCGGTGACCTGCAGCTGGCCCGTGTCCAGGATGAGGCGACTGACGCCGGCCGGCACGGTCGTCACGGAGATCGGTATGCTCACCTGGCGGCGCGGCACAGATGGCGCTGCAGTCGCACACCACGGCACGGCACGCGCGGCGCTACGCACAGTCGGACGCAGACAAACCATGCTCAGCGGCACAGTCCGACGCAGGCGCGGCCAACGGCGGCACAGGAGGACAGCGGCACCAGGGCGCAGGAGCAGGCAAACCATGCTCAGTGTCCCGACAGCCGAGGTTCTGCCGCCTAAGCCACATTGACAACAGTCACCTGGTCGGGCACATCTGTCGTCGTCATTGGGACTTCACGACGCACTCAGCCTCTGCCACTTGAAGGCGTCGCTTGCCTCTCACGCCGGCACGAAGGGCGAGCACCGCGGGGAATCCAACCCTGAACCTACGGCTTCCCAGAAGTGCAGTGGATAACGCAGACGCGTCTCTACGGCGGCGACGGCTGCATTGGACCAGGGCGGGCCGGACGGCACGGACGGCGGTAACAGACGGAGACCGGCTCGAAACTCCGCACGCTGGTGACGGGCCACCGCTCGGTCAGCACACGCACGTATGACGCTGACCGCAGACAGGTACGTACGGTGGTGACGGCCGAGCTGGCAGCCGTGTGGGCTGCGGCCGCAGAGCTGGCGACAGCGGCGGCGGCGGCGGCGGCGGCGGAGCGCACCGCCGGCGACTGGGCGCGGCCCGGGGGCGAGATCTGGTCCACGAACGGCTTGAGCCGGTCGATCAGCTGCGGCTTGCTGCCCGACACCGGCATGTTGCGCCGCTTCAGCTCCACACGCAGGTCGCTCACTGGCGGACACGGGCGCGCCACGGTCACGCCCCGACCCGTGGGCGAGGCCCCCGACACAGGCCGTCTACCGGCCCAGGCACGCACAACGGCATTTGTGATCGAGTCACGAACAACGGCGGGATTTGTGATCGAGTCAGGCGTTACGGGTAGACTCGTGACCGAGCCACGGGGAAGGCAGCCGCGGAGTGAAACCATCTTTACATCACGCAGCGATGACATGGCGTGAGATGTTTCATGTCACAAAGGGCTCCCGAGCGTTGCTGGCTGGTTCAGCCGACGAACTACGAGGAGACACTGAAGTACAGCCCAGCTGCAAGGCGGACAACCACACTAAAACAAAGTCCGACTACTTCCTGCCGTTGTCACGCGGCGTTACACGCCGTCACGCCTCTGGCGTGGGGCCGCCGGGCGCGCGACACGGCAGCCCAGCCCGGCCCGGCGCCACGCACCCTTCATCTCCTCCAGCTTGGCGTAGCGCGGATCTGGCGGCGGCGGCGGCGGAGGTGGCGGCGGCGGCGGCGGCGAGCCGGCCGAGCTCTGGCTGGCCGTGGCCGTGGTGGCGGCCGCCGCGGCGCCCGTCGAGGGCGGCTTCTGCGACGCCGGCAGGATGATCTGCGGGTACTGCGGGCGAGGCACGCGACGTGGCGTCAGGGCGCCGCGCACACACACGCACACGCGCACACCCAGACGGTACCTTACTCCGGCACGGGCGCTACGTTCAATGAAATGCGTCAACACCATTCAAAACATAGCGTACAATTAACTTTTCTGCACATTGGGTGATACTGTATGCGCGTACGCAACACCCACTACGCCCGACAATGTGGCGCATAACGAGACCAGGGATGAAACGACTGAGCTGACTAGCGTGCGCAGGCAACACAACTGCCACCCCGGTCCCGGGCAGCGCCCGCTGTCAGCCACCGTTGCCGATCCCCGCCCACCTTGTGCTGCCACTCCAGCTGCCACTGCAGGAACAGCTGCTGCTGCTGCAGGAGCAGCTCGTACGAGCTCTCGCCGTCGGCCGCCGTCGGCAGCGCCTGGCACTTGGTGGCGTTGGGCGGACCCTGGCGGCGGCGCGCGAAACCACGTGACGTCCGCACAGGGTCGCCGGCGTGCGCGGTCCACGGCCGGTCGCCGCTCACGACAGCAGCCGTCAAACTCAGCGGCGTCGAGTGACCCCACCGGACAATTCAGTTTTCGAGCTCATTTTCATGAACGCTTGCAAAAAGAACGGACGCCAACCCTCAGCATGACGATCTTTGTCTAGTGCTGCCTCTCCACCGACCTGCGCGAAAAGGCGACACCACGCAACACAAACCCACCTTGTACTCATGGAACTTTATCGTCTTGGACTTGGGCGCCATTTTGGTGGACTTTTTCTTTTTCTTGTTGTGCAGCTCCTTGCCGGGCGCCTCGGAGCGCTGCGGCGGCGTGCCGAGGTGGGAGAGCACGGAGGCCGGCCGGCCGGAGAGGATCGACGCGCTGGCCACGCTCGGTCCTGGCGGCAGAGCGGCCGGCCCGGCGGCAGGCGTCACAGCGCGGCACGGACGCGCCCGCAGGCCGGACGGAGACGCCGGCCGCGCCAGGTCCTGACGGCGCGGCGGACTCGGGCAGCGGTCACACAGCGGCCGCGGCGACGCGCCGACACGGAACAGACACTGAACACACCTGATCCCCGCTCCGGTGAGGCGGGTGACCACCTCAAAAGGCCCGCCCGGCGACGGAAGGGGGGGGGGGGGGGCGCTGACCTGGACTGATGGTGCCCAGCGACTGGGGGCTGCTGACGGAGCTGAGCGGGCTCAGCGTGCTGATGCTGCTGCCACCGCCGGGCGAGATGGCGGCGGCCACCGGCGGCGGCGGCGGCCCGCAGGCGGCGACGGTGGCGACGGCGGCGGCCGCGGCCGGGGCTGGCGCCGGCGACGGCGGCGGCGGGCCGTCCGGGCTGCCCGCGTCTGAGCTCGACTCGTCCTCCGGCCGCAGGCCGCCGAACGCCACCGGCGGCTTGCGGCGCACCTCACCCTGCGACGTCGGGCGGAAGTCGATGGCGCCCTCTGCGGAACAGCGCAGAAGACGGGTCAGCTCAGGTCAGATCGGGGAAGTGTGGGGCGGGGCGGGCCGACACCGCGACAGAGTGCCGTCACAGCGCCCTCCCCGTCGGCCGGCGGCGGCCCGGGCCGGAGGGTCAGATAAGACGTCGGGACAGCACCGATGATCGCGGCGCGTCAGGGTCCGTTCGCCCCGGCCGGGTCGGGCTGGAAACAGAAGTCACGAAGTGCAAGCCGCTTCCAATGAGGTTTATCCGAAACAGAGTTGGCTGGACTGATCGGTTCACATACGCGTCACTATTGAAAAACGCAAAAGGTGCACGCGACAAACGCAAGAGGACCATTCTTAATGCTACGTTTACCACTCTTCATGTCACGTTTAAATGTCAGGCGAACCGAGGCCACTCCGCGGTCAGCTAGCACCCTGCTGAAAACATTTCCTTCCGGACTTCGCCGGCATCCCCGGTAAATGTTAGGACCACTGTGAACGGTGGCCGATCTTCACACCGATCGACGGTGTTTTCCGAGACGCCGGGCCGACATGGCCACCCGCGCTCTCGATCGACTGTGTATTATCTTGAGCGCTGTATCGGCCATAAATCAGAGCGCTCGCTTGCTCCATCACATCACGGGTGGTGCTCTGGAACTGAGACGGCGGGGGCGGCGCGGGGTGGCGGCCTCTGGAACTGAGACGGCGGGGGTGGCGCGGGGTAGCGGCCTCTTTCACCGTTCTCCTGAAGACGCCCTGCCCGCGCTCACCAGGCCAGAGGCAAACCGGTCGCCGACATGGTGCCGCCCTGCCCATCGCTGGGTCCGGCATGGACGCTAGCGTTTGTCAACTCCTAGAGAGACGACCAGCGACCACGTCAAACTTCCTCCCGTACGCCGGGATGGGGGCAGGGGTCCACGCGGTTCTGTCCAGGTTCCGCTGTACTGGCGTCATTAGATGACCGGCAGGTCAGTACGAGGGCAGGGGACTTATACATGCAGCTACATGGCCTACATGGTCATAGGTTAGGCCATGTATCCCTACATGGCCTCACGCATGATTCTCAAAGGTTTTCGCGAGACCTGGACACCGCGGATGCTTTCGTTGACCATCTGGTGGAGCTTCTCAACGCTCGCTTGAACGTCCCGCCACGCTCGAACGTCCCGAGACGGGTTTACGATCACATCAGTGTTGTTAAGGTCATTTATGTTTGAAGTAAGAAGACGAACACCTACCCCCAACTACGTGTACCTACCTTTCCAATGAGCACCACTATGCGCAAACTGGAAACTGACGGAGGACAGACACTACAGATCAATGTCGTCGGCGCACCAGCCGGGTTAGGCCGGCGCACACATCACTCCCATCCCCACAGAGGACTGGTACGAAGGTGAGGGTGCACCGAGCTGGCGACCCACCGCCTTCCCACACGCTACAACCGACCCAACGGATCGACACCCCAGTCGGCGCTCATCATCACCACCTCCTCCCTCTCCCCTCCCAAACTGTGCCCATCCGCCTGGTGTGACCTTCCCCCGCTGCCGCTGCCCGCGGCGGCGGCGGCGGCGCCGACTCACCTTTAACGGCCTTCTCCACGGTCTCGTCCGTGTGCAGGATGTTGGCCTTGATCAGCTCGAGCACGCCCGGCCGGTGCGACAGCTGGTCGTTGAGTGCGTCAGCCAGGCGCGCCTTCTTCAGCCGGCGCTGCTTCTCGACCAGCGCCGGGTGCACGTTGCCCGTGTCCTCGAGGATGTGCTGACGCACCAGCTCCTGCCGGTCGGGCCGCCGCTGGATCTTGGCCTTGAGCAGGTCCCCCGTCTTGGCGCGCTCCAGCCGCTGGCGCTGCTCGTACAGCGCCGGTGACGCCTTCAGCGCTGCGGCAGGTTATAACAGGTCAGATAAGGTCAGGTCAGGTCGCGTCAGGTCTGGTCCGACCAGACCAGCTCAGGTTTGGTCCGGTCAGATCAGACCAAGTGACCGCATTGGCCGCCTGGTCAGGTCATTGGCCAGGCACGGCAGGCGCCAGGCAGATCTGCAGCCCGGTGACCATATGGGCCAGATGGCGCTAGTCCACATCACCCCGACCCGTCCCACCAGTGCTGATGATCAGCCGGCCTGCCGCGAATGGAGCCAACACCATCGCACCGCTGCATGCGCGCAGCTGACACACCGGCCGTGCGAGGCGGGCCCTGGTGTCCCCGCGAACACGACTGATGCCCCTCGGACACGGCCGTCACTTGTTGTCCGTCACGGACCCGGCGGTCCCCTGTTGTCAGCAGAAGATATGGTTGTCCCCTGTTGTCCGCCCCGGACCCGGCAGTCCCCTGTTGTCAGCAGAAGACATGGTTGCCCCCTGTTGTCCGCCCCGGACCCGGCAGTCCCCTGTTGTCCGCAGAAGACATGGTTGTCCCCTGTTGCTCGCGGCAGGCCCGGCAGTCCCCTGTTGTCCGCAGAAGACATGGTTCTCCCCCGTTGTCCGCCACGGACCCGGCAGTCCCCTGTTGTCAGCAGAAGACATGGTTGTCCCCTGTTGTCCGCGGCAGGCCCGGCAGTCCCCTGTTGTCCGCAGAAGACATGGTTGTCCCCTGTTGTTCGCGGCAGGCCCGGCAGTCCCCTGCTGTCCGCAGAAGACATGGTTCTCCCCCGTTGTCCGCCACGGACCCGGCGGTCCCCTGTTGTCAGCAGAAGACATGGTTGTCCCCTGTTGTTCGCGGCAGGCCCGGCAGTCCCCTGTTGTCCGCAGAAGACATGGTTGTCCCCTGTTGTTCGCGGCAGGCCCGGCAGTCCCCTGCTGTCCGCAGAAGACATGGTTCTCCCCCGTTGTTCGCGGCGGATCGGGCAGTCCGCAGAAGACTCGGCTTTCGCCGTTGTCCGCGGCGGCCCGGGTATCCCGTTGTCGGCGACGGGCCGGCCGCGGCCGCCGGTTGGACGGCCGTTTCGTCAGCGGCCGCGCCACTCGGCCCTGCGCCGCGCCGCAATCGCATTCAGCTGGCAGTGCGCGCGGCCGCCTAATCGAATTGGCCGGCCGATGGCGCAAACGGTGGCCACGGCCGCCGGGGTCGGGTCAGGCCGGCGCTGACTCACCGGCCACCTCTGACCCCGAGCGGACGGCTCGCCGGCACCCCGGCCGGCCGCTCGCAAATCATACGCGCCGGCCTGACGTCTAACACCGCCTGGCCGACCCGGTTAGTGCGGTCACACGGCCATGGATGACACGTGCAGACGACCGGCGAGGGGACGGCGATACCCACCCGACCGGCGCCCCGGCCGCAGCGCAGGCGAGCGTGCGCCGCCGAACGGGTGAAACGAGCCGGGCATCTCTGGCGACGAAGCCGCAGAGACGACGCCACCGCCGCCGGCGGACAAAGCCGGGAATGCGACCTGCGGCGGGCGCTTTCACGGCCGCGACAAAGGCGACGCGGCTCGTCGACGGCGGTGGCCAGCGCCAGCCGGCCGACAGACGGCGCGCCGGCCGTCGTGGCGCAAACGCCGCCGAGTCTCGAAAGCACCGCGGCACGCGTGGGCGCGCCGCGGCCGGTGAAAACGCGGCGAGCGCCCGGCCGGCGCGTCACATTGAGATGCATCTCGGCGATCGGGGCGCGACAGCCGGCGCGGAGGGCGACCGAGCGGTCTGTTCGCGGCCGGGAGAGACGGCGCCGGGCGGGACGGCCGCGCGAGGGACGCCCGACGGCCGGGCGACTCAGATCGGCCGTCCGATCCCGCACGAGGAGAGTGGAGCCGGAGACGCGGCGACGGCGAGCGCGTGACCAGATGGGATCGGCCGGCGCCGCCCGGTCCCCACACGCACTGATGCCGACCCCCGCCGCTCGAGGGGAGGAGACATCAGCGTTCTGGTGACGAGTCGTCGGGCTTTGCCGGTATCGCAGCGCTCCGAGACGTTAGCCGGCGCCCGCCCGGGCCCACCGCCGGCAGCCCTGACCAAAGATGACAGCGCAGTCGGGCGCATTCTCAGCTGTCGCTCGCCGTGCCGACTAATCCCCCCAGCTGGACCTGCGCCAGTGTCAGCGCCGCCCCCTCCCACACGACTGGTGCAGTGGGAACATCACACTGGGTCAGTGTGGTGCACCCACCTTCCAGTGGAGCCCACTCCTAGCTGCCCCGATCAACCCATCCCTCTGCCGCCGCCGCCATCCGCCGGGGCCAGACCCGAGCCGGCCCTCCGATCGTGACTAACACGTACAGACTCCGGCGGCCGGCGCCGCGGAGATCGCGGTGGCCGCGCCGCTGGGGCGACACGGGCCCAGTCAGAGGCCAGTACAGCGGACCGGCCGCCGCTGGCGCGACACGGGGCCAGTCAGAGGCCAGTACAGCGGACCGGCCGCCGCTGGCGCGACACGGGGCCAGTCAGAGGCCAGTACAGCGGACCGGCGGACGCCCGGCCGCCACCAGCCGCCGCCGCTGGCGCGACACGGGCCCAGTCAGAGGCCAGTACAGCGGACCGGCGGACGCCCGGCCGCCGCCAGCCGCCGCCGCTTCGGCGAACGGCTGCCGTCACAGGCCGGACGGCGCCGCCGCCGCCACCGTCTCGGCGCCGGGGTGGCAGTCCTGACGCGGCACGCGCCAGGACACGCCGCGCCAGGCCGCCCTCGCCGGCCTCTGTCGAGCTTCTCTGGACCTCACCGTTGACGCATCGTGGTGGCCGCTGGTCAGCAGGATCCCGCCGATCCCGACGACCCCCTCGCCTCGTCCCCCTGTCCCCCCCCCCCCCCTCTGCCGTCACGGCTGTGGACCGCCGGAGCGGCTCGTCCTGCTAAACGTCGCACGGCAGCGCTGCGTACGGAGTCGCGCGGGCTGACCGACGGCTACAAGGATGCCACATTAGGCCAGCGGCGCAACACGGCCCCGGCGGCGGCTCTCACCCCGATCCCGCCTACAGATCCGGGGACACGGACTGCACAGAGTAACCAAACAACATCACGTCCGGACACTCTATCCGATGCGCTGGCTACGAGCGGCCGCCCATGCCACGTGAGCGGTGGGCGTGGGCGGCCTGGCGAGCTGAGGTGGCGGACTCACACGGCAGGATGCCCTGGTCCACCAGCTGGTTCATCGGACGCCGCGTCATCAGCTTCACCTTCAGCGCTGTCGACAGAGGGAGGGCACGTCACTGGCGGCGGCCGCGCGCGCCCACAGGCGGTCAGGGGGCGGCAGACACGCACGCACGCAAACCGTCACACACGTCACTGGCGCCAAAGCACGCACGTTAACGCACGCCTCCTCGGCCGCTGCCGGCATGATTTCAGCAGCAACTTAAGCTTGCAAATGAACTCCACGTGATGCATGGCTGGATGTACGCCTCTGTGTGCACATCTCTGGACGCTGTGTATGGCGACGTGATGGTGATGGCTTGATGGTGACGTGATGGCTTCCATCACGCTTACACGATACGCATGTAGAACAGCGCACCGCGAGAAGTGCGTGGCCCAGCGAGCGGTCGGACTGTGGCCGGGCCGGGGCTGGCGGTCAGCGCAGTGCGCCGCGCGGGGCCCACCAGGCCGGCGGGGTGCCGCACAGCGCCGGCCCGGAGCGGGGCCGGGCCGGGGCTGAGGCCGGGGCCGGCCGGTCCAGCGGCGCGCCTTAAAGGACGGACAACACCGTCACCGGTCGTCACAGCCGTCACCAGTCAGTGCCGCCTGAGTGGTGGTCTGTCGTCACAGCCGTCACCAGTCAGTGCAGCCTGACTGGTGGTCTGTCGTCACAGTCGTCACAGCCGTCACAGCCGTCACACCTGTCACCTGTCATGCTGCACTGACCTATCGTCAGTCCCAACAGCATGCCCGCATCTGCATTTATGCATGCCACGGTTCGGGGACAGCACCCGAAAAGGCAGCCAGCCATCACCGACAAACCACCGCGCCACACAGCATCGCAAGTCGCAGCCAGGCAGCCGCTCCGACCGCACCCCAGGCCTGGCCGGCCGCTGCCTCCATGGGCGTGCGCACACAGCACCGAGGGCTGCTCTGCTAGGTCAATGTCATCCTGTCACCGGGCAGGCGGCATCAGGCCGCCGTGGTGGCCAGCCGCCGTACAAACACCCAGATCCGTCACGTCAGATTCCTGGACATCCTCTGCCCGATAAACAACTCAGATAACACCAGGCCGCTATGCAAGCAGCAGCCTCCGACAAAGGCGATCGCCATTAGAGAGACGGACGCGCGCCGGTGACTTACTGCCGCCCGCTAAGCCGACATTAGTCATATCCAGCTGTGATGGATGACGTCATTTGGCTGCCTTTTGCGGACGCCCACCGTGACCCGGGACGACTCGATGGCAGTGCTGGACGGCTGTTACGGCGTGCGGCGATCATGTACGGTGGGGCATTAGCTGGAGTCTCCTGCGGAGCCGGCGCCAGCGCTGCCCAACAGTGCCACTGCTGACACGCCCCACCGCAATCTCTGGTCTCAGCACGCCTCTTGGTCCCTCCAACAGTCTCCAGGGGACCATCTCGCCGGTTCAGGGTCTGACCGGCTGCGGAGACCCGGCGCCGGCCGTGCCTCCTCTGAAGCCGCCCGAGCCTTCAGACCTGGGCCGCTGCCGCACCGCCGGGGCCGCCCGAGCAGCCGTGCCGGCACCAGACGGTGGACGCCAGCCGTGCCTCCCCTGAAGCCGCCCAAGCCCTCAGACCAGGGCCGCTGCCGCGCTGCCGCGCTGCCGAGGCCGCCCGAGCAGCCGCGCCGGCGCCAGACGGTGGGCGGCGGCCGGGCGCTGCCGCCGCCGCCACCCCCGGCCAACACAAACAGGAGGCCCGCCAGAGACGCGACGGGCCGCAACGGTCAGCGGTGGCCAGCCGGACCCAACGAGGCGGCCCTCCCGACCAGCTGTCGCCCGCCGGGTCGGCCGAGGCCGGCCGGCCGCCGCCGCGACCGCCCGTGGTTTGGAGCGCGAGGGGCGCGTCACGTATGGACGATTCGCCACCTCCTTCGGCTGGAGCTCAAGGCCGACAGCGCGTCGCGTCGCTTTAGAGCACCGGCAACACCCGATGCCGGGTCAGATCACCGCGCCGGCCGGCCGGGCCGACCCGATCTCGGGTCAGATGTCACCGGCGGACGGCCCGATGAGCCGATCCCGGCTCGGGTGTCGCCACCGCCGCCGTGACCCGCCCCGCCGCGCCAGCCTCCAGACCACCTCGGCGGGCCGACCGGGCCGGAGCGACACGGCGGCGGGCGCGGCGGGCCGACCCGGCTCTGGACCGGGGTCGGGGCGGGGCGGAGGAGGCGTGTCGCCGGTGTCAGCGTGTCACTGCTGGTGTTGCGGTGTCGCACCCCGGGCTGCGGCCGACAGCGCCACTACAGCATCCCCCGCGAACTCAGGCCGCCGGCCGATATGAGACGCCCGTGTCAGTACCAATGACACAGCAGCGCGTCTGGGCGTCATCTTTGACACGGCAGCGCGTCTGGGTGTCGTCTTTGACACAGCATCGTGTCTGAGTGACATCTTTGACACGGGAGCGTGTCTGGACGACATCTTTGACGAGGTAGCGTGTCTGGGTGTCATCCTCGACACGAAAATGAGTCTGGGTGTCGTCCTGGCTACGGCAGCGTATCTGGGTATCGTCACTGAACGGCAGCCTGTCTGGGTATCGTCTGCGACACAGCATGGTACCAAGGCGTCAATCTCACTGACACGACTACGTGTCACGGTGTCACCACCCTCAACTCTGCAGCATGTCCGAGCGTTGCGCCCCTGACACGAGAGCGCGTCAGTGGCGCCAGCGCCCCTGACCGGCAGAGCGTCGGCGACGCCGGCGTCTCGGCCGCGGCGCCACGGCGCGTCGACTCACACTCCTTGTTGCGGTCCATCTGCTTGTGCAGCGGCGAGTCGTCCACCTCTCCCTGCGGCGGCGACAGCGGGATGATGGGGGGCGGCGAGCCCCCTCCCTCTGCCATCTCGGCCTGTTCAAAGTCGAAGTTCTGAAACGGAGCGTCACGCGGCGTAAGCGCGCGGCTCTGGGCATCGGCTCACGCATCGGCCGGCGGCGGCCGGGTGGCGGTTACGACGGCACGCCGGCACACGAGCGCGAGTCTGCAGTGGTTACCGAGAGCTCACGCGCCGCCCACACAGGCCGGCTGCTGTTTTGTCCGCCGAAATACGGCAGCCGTTTGACGGCGGCGGACGTGGGCGGCCGTAGCCGTGATGACAATGCGTGAACACCGCATCGGGTGTACGGGCCCAACACGAAGCGCCATTGTCAGTTCGCGCACGGCCCGATAAGCCAAAAGCACGTGCAAATACGACGCCTACACGATTCCACGCCACAGATACGTCGATGCCGAAACGACGGGCGCATATCAACGCGGCGACAAAAAGCCGACCCCCCCCCCGCACCGTTGATCGGCTGATCCACGCCCGGCCCACCTCCCACCAGCGTCCGTCCAGCCGCTCCGGGCGGCTCGACAGCAAAGGTCAGCGGTGGCCGGCGGGCCACGCCTGCCAAGCCCCAGCGTAAACACGGCCCGACGCCGACCGGCGCCATCCCCAACAGCCGGTGTGCGCGATCGCGTGACGTCACAACCGACGCACGGCCGGTGACGTCATACTCGCGTACACGCTGCCCGCGACGGGATGTGAGCATGTGCGTTCAGTCGCAAAAAGGCATGGGATGACGCAGAGACCGGGAGGACGCCCCCCTCCCCCACCGGGACCACCTCTGGCAGCCCGGCGCCTCTACCTGGAGCAAGGACGCATGGCGGTGTCGGACGGTGCCAAGACAGGAGCGGTGCCAGGACCAGGGAGGTGCCAGGACAGGGGCGGTGCCAGGTCTGGGGCGACGGAGGGCAGGGACGCCACGGCCGGAGCGAGTGGGCCGGCGCCTCGTCAGCTGCGGGGAGGAGGAGGAGGGAGAGGAGCGGTGGAGCAGGAGGCTCCGCTCACGATTCACCAGCGGAGCACGGACAAACGCGGGCCAGCAGGACACGGACAAACACAGGCCAGCAGGACACGGACAAACACAGGCCAGTAGGACACGGATAATTACAGGCCAGCAGGACACGGACAAACACAGGCCAGCAGGACACGAATAATTACAGGCCACGACACGGACAAACGCGGGCCAGCAGGACACGGACAAACACAGGCCAGCAGGACACGGATAATTACAGGCCAGCGGGACACGGACAAACACAGGCCAGCAGGACAAGAATAATTACAGGCCCCGACACGGACAAACGCGGGCCAGCAGGACACGGACAAACACAGGCCAGCAGGACACGGATAATTACAGGCCAGAAGGACACGGACAATTACAGGCCAGCAGGACACAGACAAACACAGGCCAGCAGGATACGGACAAACACAGGCCGGCAGGACACGGACAAACACAGGCCAGCAGGACACGGGCGAACACGGGCCAGCAGGACACGGACAATTACAGGCCGGCAGGACACGGACAAACACAGGCCAGCAGGACACGGACAATTACAGGCCGGCAGGACACGGACAAACACAGGCCAGCAGGACACGAGCAAACACGGGCCAGCAGGACACGGACAATTACAGGCCAGCAGGACACAGACAAACACAGGCCAGCAGGACACGGACAATTACAGGCCAGCAGGACACGGACAATTACAGGCCAGCAGGGCACAGACAAACACAGGCCAGCAGGACACGGACGTAAATAGGCCAGCAGGACCCCGACAAACACAGGCCAGCAGGACACGGCAAACACAAACCAGCAAGATACAGACAAACACAGGCCAACAGGACACGGCCGCAGGCCAGCAGGATACGGACAAACACAGGTCAGAGCCGGCCCGGATTCAGTCGAGGCGGGCTCAGTGAGCTTCCCGGACATGTTCACGCATATGACGTGAGTCAACTTGGTCCAGCTGCCGCGTAAGAAAACAACCAGGTAGAAACAAGAATCCCGGCATGTCGTTATCATCACGTAAGCAATCGATCACTGCATTATGTGCAAAACAATACTTGGACGCGTCTAACTTAATGCCTCTTTCATACGTCACATAATCAAATATCTCAAAACATACATTAAAACTTTCTGACTCGAAGACGGTGGCCCCACGTGAACCTACCTATGAAGCGCATCACAGAGTTCTCCCATGTTCTTTTCACACCGGACACACATTCGCACAGACGCCGTCTGGCATGGCGTCGTCGTTGGCTCCGCACCAAGCAGCACGCCGGGCTCACCAGCACTGCAGCACTCATGCCGATTCGGATACAGAAAGGCAATCGGCTGCACTCGAGATAGCCTGACAGCGATGGCACACGCCCCGAGCTGCTGGCGGCCCTTGACGTGAGCCGGCTCCCGCGGACACCCGGGGTACGCAACCGACGCGGTACTCACCCTAAACCACTCGGGGTACAGCGACGATATGGTCAGCAGAAGGTCCGGGTCCAGCTGGATTCCCCAGTAACCAGAACTCCCGGTTGTTACTAATAATACGCAGACCGGAATCTGAAAGCAGAAAAAACAACCCGTTAAGTCTGACGTCACTGCAAACGTCACCAACCCTGCGTCATCGGGCCCCACCACGCTCTCCGCTGTTAAGACTACGTGGCGTCGCCTGTCTCTCACTCCGGCATGGTGGGCGGGACCGCGGAGAATCGAACCCCGCACCTCTGGCTTCACAGAAGGGCAGCTGAGCTACTGCAGCACCGGCGCCCCGTCACAGCCGACCCCCGCGCTGACTGCAGCGCGACAGGTCAACCCACGGCCGCCAACCCGACCTCACCGTACACAATTCTACACTGGCCGTGTATGTTCCTCAAAAGGGCGCCAATCACACCACGCGCGCGGCCGAAGCCGTTTGAAACGTCCGCGGGCGGGATCGCGTCCTATGAGAGCCTCTCAGCTCTGGAGCCGCTCCGCCATAGGCGAGAGGTGCGCTGGAGCCGCCCCGCCACAGGCCGGGCGCAGGCTCGCTGGCAGCTGCCGTTCGGCGGCCACGGGCGGCCGGCCCAGCCGGTCCACTCCGCGCTCGGCGCCGGGTCGATCCCACCGCTTTACTCCAGTTCATGTCACCGACGGGCACTGACGCTCGTCACCGGCAGCATGCGCATGCGTACGACTTCTGCAACCAGCTGCCACCTCCACGAGGCGAGACCGCAATCGCATTTGTTTATTTGCGCAGCCTGGGCGCGCGTCTCGCTGCGCCGGCACAGCCATCCGTCACTCCAAAACATCAGTAATCTCCGGCCGGTCCGGCACGGGTACGTTGGACGGGCCCGGCGCAGGCTGACACACTGCATCGTGCTGAATCTGCCATGCCCAACGCGTAGGCGCGTCCCGCGGGCCCTCCCCCCTCACGCCCCTCGCCTACGCCGCCGGAGGCACGCCGCGACGCGACGTCGTGTTGTGCGGCTGCGGCTGGTACCGCCCTGTTCTCCGAACCTGAGCGCGGTCCGTGTGCCGGTTGTTCTGCTGTGTTCCCCACACTTGGGCGCGCTCCGTATGCCGGTTGTTCCGCTGTGTTCTCCACACCTGAGCGCGGTCCGTGTGCAGCCGATGACGGAGTCACCAGCGCGCCTCCGACACCCGTCCGTGTGCAGGCCGATGACGGAGAGTCACTAGCGCGTCTCCGACACCCGTCCGTGTGCAGCCGACGACGGAGAGTCACCAGCGCGTCTCCGACACCCGTCCGTGTGCAGCCGATGACGGAGAGTCACTAGCGCGTCTCCGACACCCGTCCGTGTGCAGCCGATGACGGAGAGTCACCAGCGCGTCTCCGACACCCGTCCGCAGGCCGGGCCAACCGTCTACCGTTTGCACGATGAGTTGGAAGTATCCCGGCTCGCACAGGCGAGCGTACGTCCATCTACGCAAACACGCGCCACTGTTTGCACGGGGCGCGACGTGTGCGCAAGCTCCGTCTCCAGCGCGCGGGTTTGACCGTTGGCTGACCCCCCCCCCCGCGCGACGACGAACTCGCCGTGGAGTTTTACCCCAGCCGGCGTCGCCGTCACCGCCCGCTGTGCCTCACCGGCCCCGAGCGCCTGGCGCCTCCGGCCAGCATCGCTGCGCCGCTGTGCGCTGTGCAGCCTCCGGCCACGCTGTGCGTCAGAGGGGGCGTCCCGCCGCTGTGACGCTGGCGGTCGGAGGCCAGGGAAGTTATGTCCAGTCCTGACATAACTTCCCTGGCCTCCAAATGCTGACACATTTGAAGCTGATTCCAGAAACGTGTCGGCCGTCCGCCGCGGTGGCGCCGCCTCCGATAATCGGTGACGTCGACCACACTTTCAAATGCTGGAATGTGGACAAAACCGCAACTACACCGCGGTCGTTGGAGGTTCTACATCGGCGTCCCATTCCACAGCACGCAACCGCGGCGGGACATGTGACGGTAAAATTGCATTCTGATGTATCTGCCGCAAGCATAGGTCGATAATATCTGCCATATCCGAAACCAGATGTGTTTGTATCCAAAATATCGCAGAGTAAAACGAACAGCTTTAATAAAACCACCTGCAAAATATCGAAAACGGACCACTATGTATCCCAAATACCAAACGGGTATCTCAAAACATCCCTGGCATGTGTGTCTGTATCTGTGCCGATGCGCAGCCGGGTGTCCGCTGCACGTGGCCGGCGGCGGCGCTGACCCGGACGCCCCCTCACAACAGCCGGGACCGTCCCAGCTGTCGGCCGGGTACGCCAGCCCCGAGCGACGTCGCTGCCGCATCAGCATGCCAGCCGAGCCAGGCCGCGGCAGCTCGGACCAACAGCGCTGCCAGTCGGCGCGGCGACCGGTCGGCCCCACGGCGCTCCCAACGCTCTCTCTTGCATGGCCCGCGCGTGCACGGACAGCATGAGGAGAGAGAGAGAGAGAGAGAGAGAGAGAGAGAGAGAGAGAGAGAGGAGAGAGAGAGAGAGAGAGAGAGAGAGAGAGAGAGATAGAGAGAGAAGAGAGAGAGAGAGAGATAGAGAGAGAGAGAGAGAGAGAGAGAGAGAGACAGAGAGAGACAGAGACAGAGACAGAGACAGAGACAGAGACAGAGACAGAGACAGAGACAGAGACAAGACAGAGATACAGAGACAGAGACAGAGACAGACAGAGACCGAGAGAGACAGAGACAGAGACAGAGACAGAGACAGAGACAGAGACAGAGACAGACAGAGACAGAGACGAGACATAGAAGAGACAGAGACAGAGACAGAGACAGAGACAGGACAGAGACAGAGACAGAGACAGAGACAGAGACAGAGACAGAGACAGAGACAGAGACAGAGACAGAGACAGAGACAGAGACAGAGACAGAGACAGAGACAGAGACAGAGACAGAGACAGAACAGAGACAGAGACGAGACAGAGACAGAGACAGAGACAGAGACAGAGACAGAGACAGAGACAGAGACAGAGACAGAGACAGAGACAGAGACAGAGACAGAGACAGAGACAGAGACAGAGACAGAGACAGAGACAGAGACAGAGACAGAGACAGAGACAGAGACAGAGACAGAGACAGAGACAGAGACAGAGAGAGAGAGAGAGAGAGAGAGAGAGAGAGAGAGAGAGAGGAGAGAGAGAGAGAGAGAGAGAGAGAGAGAGAGAGAGAGAGAGAGAGAGAGAGAGAGAGGAGAGAGAGAGAGAGAGAGAGAGAGGGCCGGCGAGAACGTAAAATATGACTGTCAATAAACAAGCTATCTTGGACACATCTTCGAGAGGACCTCCCTGGAGCAGACACAAACGGAGCCAAACGGCCGATACACTACGTCGGGGCGCTCACGCCGTCTACCCTGCTCACAATACACCGGCGGGTGAACGCCGCCTGCCCGTCCACAATGCACGAGCGCCGCCGGGGCAGCCAGTCACGCTCGTGCCCACTGCAGGTCAACAACATTCCGACGCCCTCGACACAATACGCCCCGCACATTAGTCCGACGCCACGCAGCACATCCGCCGTCGCCGGCCGCCGGCGGACGTCACAGATCAGCTCAACCGAACTATCACACACACACACGCGCGCGCGGGGGCAGGCGCCGGCTGAGCGGGGTTCGACCCGGGACCGGCTGGACGTGGTCCTGACGCTCGCCCGCCCGTCCGTCCGTCGGTCGGTCGGGGCACTGACAGCGCACGCCCGCGCAATGTGATGCTGACTATCGACGCAACTTGGCCTGCCTCGTATCGCTAGAGCCAGCTGCATAACGAACGTAATGAACCCAAGGCCTCTACGGGCTCCGCGCTCTAAAACGTTACGACTCTTTGTTGATCCGAATATGCTTAGCGGGCACGGCATGAGTCTGTGAATGGAGGATGTTGCGTCCCGTGATCATTTCCCTCCCACGAAGTTCCATCGATCCCTCATACACCTCAAACCAAATGGTGAGGGTGTGAGGGGGCCGGAGGGCGTGGGGGGGGGGGGGGGCAAAGAAGCGGCGAGGCGCGTGGGGCGCGACACCCACACCGGCGGTGACGTCTTAAACCGCTGGAAGTCGTGAGAGAGACAGCACGACCACAGGCCCAGAGCAGAGACAAACGGCAGCGCCCCGAACTTCCCACATTAGCCGCTGTGATGGTGTGACCGCCGTCTCCGGCGGCGGCGGGGAACACCCGGTCGGAAGCGGCCGCGGATGCCGGCCGGTTCCCGTCGGCCGCGGTCCGACCGCGACACCGCGTCCGACCTCAGCAGCACCTCGACGCGCCACGCCCGCCCACAGCCCGGCTGCGGCCCCCGGCGCTCCGAGCCGGCGCGGGACGGAGACGAGCCGGCCGGCCCGGCTCCCGCCGAGCCGCCGCTCCACTGACGCAGACAAAGCTGACGCCGCCGGCCGCCACTGGCCCGCCGGCGCCTTTTTGCTGGCCAGGCGCGCCGTTGCGACGCGTTTTTACCGGACGCCGTGCGCGCGCGGAGGCGGCCGTCGACGTGGCGTCCGTCGTGTCCGCCCGGCGCGGTCAACCAGTGCCGCGCGGTCCTCTGTCTGCACGTGTCACCGAGCCACACGAACTTCCATGACGCACGGTACCCGCTGCCCTCTAGGCGGGTCGGCAACGGAAGCCCGCCGGATGTTTTAATCACGGCGGCCTGGCTGTTTACTGACCGAGCAACGGCTGACACGGCGTCACGCCCCCACGCTGCGGCACGTTCCGCACGTGATCCGCTCACCGCCGGGGCGGCCGGCGCGCGGCTGCGACGCCGGTGCGCTCAGAGCGGCCGGCGCGCCTGGCCGCGATGGAGCGCGTGATGTCGGGCCGCTCCGAGCAAGGCCCCCTCCCGGCACCGTCGATGCCCGCGCGGCCGAGGACAGCCGCCGACCCGCGCTCTGACCACGCCCCCGGCGCGGCGCCCGTTCCTGGGGACGACGCTCCAGCGGCGCGCGCAACAAATGACGCCGACCGAGCACGCTTAGCCAACCCGTGGCCGTACCAGCCAGCGCCCGTTCAGCTGGGCCGAGAAATTCGCCCATCCACGAGCGGCCTCGCCACAGTCGCAGCGCGAGTGCGATCTACGATAGGACGC